TTGTGTGTGTTGGTCCTGGGGTTTGAACTCTGGGTCTCGGTGCTATCCCTGAGCTTCTTTTGACAAAGGCTACCTCTTGGGCCACAGCTCTGCTTCCAGCTTTTTTGATAGTTTAGTGGTAATAAAGTAACAGAATTTCCTGTCCAGGCTGGCTTCAAACTGAGATATTTGATCTCAATCACCTGAGTAGCTAGGATTACAGGCATCAGCCATTAGCGCCTAACAGATTGTAGATCTGGTTTCCACATATGAGAGAAAGTGTGTAATATTTGTCTTTATGAGACTGCCTGTTTCAATGAATCTCCAGTTCCAGCCATTTCCATACAAATGACATCATTTTGTTCTTTACAGCTGAATATTTCACTGTGTATTCTCTTATCTAACTTATATAATTAATTTTATAATTTATTATTGTAATATAAACTATTATAAATTATAATTCATTGTATGTTAATATCAATTACAATGGAATATTTATAAATTAATAAAATTATTTTATATAATCATATATAACACATTATATTACATTATAACATCAATTATATATAATACATAATTTATGTATTTATATGTGTATAGTGCACATATATACTATACATACAGATAAAATTTGTTAAATATTTTGGATAGTAATCCCTTCCCTGATGTTGTTGAATGGTGCTGTTACAAATATGGATGTACATCAATGTGTATTTTATACTGACATATATTTCATTGCATATATACCCAACAGTGGTCTAGCAGGATAATATAGTAGTTCTATTTTTAGTTTTTGGAGGAACTACAACTTCTAAACTGATTTCTATTGTGACTTCATTAGTTTACATCCCAGTAACAGTATATAGGAATTCCTTTTCCCATGCTTCCTTGTTTGTCCTCTTTATGATAGCCTGAGTTGAGTTGCAACCTCAGTGTCACTTTAATTTGAATTTTATTTATGGATAAGGGTGCTGATTTTTTCTGCCAGTCCTGGGGTGTAAATGCAGGGCCTGGGCACTGTCCCTGAGCTTCTTTTTGCTCAAGGCTAGCACTCTACTACTTGAATCACAGTGCCGCTTCTGGCTTTTTCTATTTATGAACTGAGGAATTAAACCCAGGGCTTCATGGATGCTAGGCAAGTACTCTATCACTAAGCCACATTCCCAGCATATGTATTGGACTTTTATATTTACTCTCTTGAGAGCTGTCAAATGATTTCGTCCATTTTTAAGCTGAATTATTTGTTCTTTTTGTTTTTGATTTCTTGAGCTCATTATTAATCTTTTGTCTGATGAATAGCTGCCAATAATTGTCTCCCATTCTGTTGGGTGTCACTTAGTTCTGGTGACTGTCTCGTGATAGAAGCCTTTAAATTTCATTTTTCGAGGCTTGATCTAATTTGTTAAGTAATGGGAATCCTATTTAAAAAGTGATTGCCCATATTACATCTTGGAGTGTAGTATTTTCAATGTATCTGGTCTAAATTTTAAGGTCTTGAGTTCATTTCACTGATTTTTTTTTTCACAGCACAAGAGATAGGGATTTATTTTCAGTCTTCTGAATATCCACTTTTCCCAACATTATTTGTTGAAGAAACTGTCTTTTCTACAACATTTTTGGAACTTTTTTGGGAAAAATTTTGTGACTTATAGCTGTGTGCATTTATTTTTGTGTCTTCTATTTTGGCCTACCTACCTGGTTTGTGCCAGTTCCATGCTGCTTTAGTTATTGTGGTTTTATAGTGTAAGTCACCATTGGAAGTCAGCATAACTCTTCTTCCTCAGAATTGCTTAGGGTATCTATTATTTCTTATGAATTTTATAATTATTTTTTTCTATTCACCGTGGAATTTGGTGAGGATTGCTTTTACTTTGTAGTTTATTCTCGATACTCATTTAATATTAATTCCACCACATGGGAGACTTATCCATCTTCTAATATGTTCAGTTTCTTTCTTTGATATTTTATAGTTTTAGTTGTATATGTATTTCACTTCCTTTGTTATTTTTTAATTTTTGAATTTATCCTTTTTTAAAATCAACGTGTTTGTTACTGGTGTATTGAAAGTGCTTTTGCTCTTTTAAAATGTTTGTTTTTCAGTATTTGGGATGTTCTCACATTCAGCAGATCAATAAAAAGATGAAGTTACCTTCAGTTTTCACTTTGTGTGCTTCTATGGTCTGAATCTTTGTATCTCCATTCTTAAATTGTATGTTGAAAATCAACAGCATGATTTTGAATGACAGATTCAATGGCTCTACCTCTAAAATTGTATGAATACCTTTCTGAAAGAGAATTTTCTTATTCCTTTGTCCTGCCATGTGAAGTTACAGCAAGAGGAAAACTTTCACCAGACACTATATCTTCTGGTTGATTGATTTTGGACTTCTAGCCACCAGAGTATTGAGAAATAAATTTCTAGTGTTAAAAGCAGCCCACATTCAGAGTATTTTGTTGTATCACTCTGATTGAACTTTAGATTCTTTGTTCACTCAGTTCAAATATATTTTTTTGCAAACCTTTGGCTACTTTATATACCCTTACATTGAATATTTGTTAAACAGCTTTCTTAGAGAAAGCATGAAGGCACTCTGCTTTGCTATGAAGAGCATCCTTTAGTAATAATGCTTTGAGCTCATGTTACATGAGTAAATACTTGTTTAATAGAGTAATCATTATCTGAAAACAGCTTTCATTTATTTTAATTGGCTAGTCATGTTGAATCACTATTAAAAAGATGTAGTAATGGACTATAAATGAATTATTTTTTGGTTGAGGGGAACTTTTATTCATTAGTTAACAGATTAAGAGCTTCTATGCATTCAAGCTTTGGTGTTTTTATCACAAATATTAACTTAGAATGTTGGCCAGAAAACCAGATAACGTATACTGTTAACATTACTAAGAGAATGGTAAAAACAATTTGTGTAAGTGCTCTGATGAAATATCTGAAAATGCTCAACTTTCTTATTTTCCATTTATTATTCACTGAATAACTTTAAGATGTACACATTGGAGAGGTTGGTTATGAGATTCATGATAAGGTAAGAGATTAGAAGTAAACCTTGATATTTCTCTTTCCCTTATATCTCCTATAAGCCCTGAAATTCTATTCCTATTCATTAAGACATAGATCTGAAATCAGTCATTCCTTTCCATATCTACTTGCCACTACTTTGGTTCAGGCCTTCATCATTCTCTGACCAAAATTGTACCATACATAATTTGTCTCTCTTCCTCCACTTTTTTCTTATTCAATTGATTGTCCATACTTCAGTCAAGATACTAGAACTGTAATACTGATTATAATGATGATTTTTTCATTACTTTTAGACTAAAGCCCAAACTCTTTTAGTGGTTCCTGAGGCATCGCATGACTGGATCTTGGCTTCTCATCTTCTATCTGTTCTTACACTTTATAGCGTAACCCTGTTGTGTGTACTATTCCTTAAGTGTGGCTTTTAAAGAAGTCTTTTCTCAGTTCTAACAGTTCAGTATAAGGAGCTATTCACTGTCCTGCTATTTGGTATGTAGCTCTACTTACTTCATCTATCACAACCAAATATACTCATCTACTTTTTGTGAAAGCAGGTTTTGGGGATGTTTATTAAGGAATCTCCAGTACATGTGTAGTACCTAATATGTAGAAGATAGTAAGTTTCTTTTTACAAAGAAATACTATAAATGGATATATAGACATTGATAAGGACATCTCTTCCAAAATGAATACTTATTTTGATTACAATAAAAAGATATGTTGATAAACCACATTTTTCTCCCTGTGATTTATCATCTATTTATATTAACTATGTATATATGTATATATTTATATTAACTGTCAAAATTTCAAGCCCTGCATTTGAACTTGTGTAGTTCGTGGCAGTAATTTGTTTAAAAAGATAGTGTCGAGAAGACCATTAGAGAATCCCAATTTCCTGTCCTCTTAGAACTTATCTGAATGCTATTATATGTTTCATGACTTGTGAATGGGAGAAGGGAAACTGTTTTTGTCTAAAATAGTTTTATATACAATATTAGCTACTAAATTTCAATTAGCTTCTTCACAGTTCTGTTGCTTGTTTGTAGTATCATTGATTAAGGCTGTACATAATGTGATAATTATTTTAGGGTAAAATATACTTTGTGTCCTAAGTTTAAATTTAGTTCATTTGATTAAAATCTTAGCTTTTATTTTCTTTATTTCAAAAAACAACCCTTTATCACATGGAAAGAGAAAAAATTTCTGATAATAATTTTAGAAGATACAGGTTCTTTGTTATCAAGTTACCTTACTAATGTTTGAATTTCCAGAATCTGCTATGTTATGGTAGAAGAAACAATTACCAAAACACAATGAGTAGAATATTGACAATTTGTAATATTAATGCCAATAACTTTTATGTAGATTTTATTCCTAAATTTAACTACTCAATCTTAGAATTTGATAATAATGCATTAACTTTTGCATGTTAAACCCTTAACTAAAAGCACAATAAACATTTTTATTTGGTGTTGGTGGGTCTGTTTATCTATTTATCATTACTCACAAAGATGGCCAGAATAAAACATTTCTTACTTTTAGGCATTTCTAATCCTGATGAATTGGACAACAAGTGATAATACACGTGATTCAGAGAACAGATTCCTTTAAAATGGAGCACAACTTAAATTGTTAATTTATTAAACTAACCCTATTCATGTAGGAAGAAAGCTGCCTAATACTTAAGAATTGACATTTTAACATGATATTTATAACAGACATATTGGATCCTTAGTTAAATAGAGCTTCACTTATTTTAAAAGGACTGACAAAAAAATTAAACTTCTCTGGGCAAGTGAAATCTGTATAGTAGCAGAAGTGGAAAACCTGAAGGATGTGGCTGGTTCCTTGTTTGGATGATGCAGAACTGCTCCACGCAGAAGCTTACTGTTTTCAGACAGCATAAGCAGCATCAGCATATACAACTGTGTCAGCCTCTCTTAGTCCCGAGTGTTTGTAACTGCACAGGAGAGAGGACAAATGATGATAGCTTAAACAGATACTGATGGGACAGATCTGCTACTTGGTATTTTCTTCACTAGCCCTGAAGATGCTGAGAGAGAGATGGCTGTGATTATCTTTTGTAAGGCAGAAAATGCAGTCTTTATGGGTTTCTGGGAATAGAAAGGTCATGCAGTCTGGAACCTGTGAGCCTTTGCAGTCTGTAAGTCATCAGGTATGACCTTGTGAATTGTGATGATATTACTAGAATGGAGAGTTATTGCTTCCTCTTGCAGTCATTTAGAATGCGTGAAGGCAATGAAATGGTCTATTTTCAGATTTTCCGTTTACTATCTAAGCAAGTAGTATTTATAGTAATGGATAACAGCTAAACAATTTGAATTTTAAAGATGTTTGTGTGTGTGTGTGTGTGTGTGTGTGTGTATGTTTACCTTGGCCTTTTCTGTGGGGACAAAAGGAAGAGATTCTTTATATGATTAGGAATAAGGTTTGGGCTCTGTATTTTTTTTCAAAATTAAATGAGACTCCATATAATGCTTTAAGTAATAAAAGTAGGATAAATTGATCAGAACAGCATAAAAGTATCATAACTATCTGCTTAAAGATATGATACATTACAAAATTGTTATCTAGTTTCTCTTAAGCATTGCTGCTAGCACTGCAGTGCACCACAGAGCAATAAGTTTGATGAGGAGAATAATGTTTATCAGAATCTCGGTTGCAGGATAATTTCCTGAAATTTATATTGCAATGGCTACAGTGTTTCAAAAGGCACTGGATTTAATCTTTTTTCAGATAAAATACTCATGCTGTTGATACTTTTATGTAGATCTTTGCCAAGTCCTTGCTGATAGCTGAGTATAAATTTATTTTACACAGAAAGATTTTGAAATTTGAACTTAGTAAACATTTTTTTCTTTTGGTGGAGGGACCCAGAGAGATTTGGCATTTGCTTACTTTCATTTTCAAGTTGAGCAGACTTGATTTCATTAAGCATGTTGACTACAAAGAGAAATTGTTGAGAAGCCGACAACCATGGATTTATGTATCAATTTGTCAATTATTTTAAAGTACTTTTATTTCTCAAGTCACAAATGCATTTAACTTCTGGTAAGATGCTACCTAAGTTTTGCACTTAAATCTGAAAACAAGTGCATTTTATTAATTTTTTATGTTCTACATGTCCCCCCACAATTTTAGAGAACTTATCAGATCTGTTATATTAAATGATCAAAAAATGTGGAAGCATTTTTCCCTGGAATAATGGTGTTATCTTCATGATTCTGTAGCATGATCATTTAGGGCTTCATTTATGTAGTTACATTTAATATATAACAAAGTCTGAAACAGTGAATTGATTCAGTTGAGCTAAGTTTCTCTTTCTTAATTAAAAACACATTGAAAAAATTTACCTACTGATATTGAATATAATTTATAGGTTATTCAAGCTGCTTAACCAGCTTATAGTCTTCTTAGTAGGGAAAATTGCCATATTCTTAAGCTTGATTAATTTTGGAATGATGTGAATATACCTTCTAGTTGCTACAAAATCTGTTTAATCTGTTAGAATTTATTTCCAGTATTTGCATGTATTAATCACTGTGAGTACATTCTGTTTCTTGGCATTGCTTTGGGATCCTTCTATTCACTGTTTTCAGAACATGTGACTAATTCTGTTGTATTTATGATCTATCAAAGGAACCAAACCATCAAAAATTTTGGTCACGTTCATTTGGTGGTACTTAAATGAGTATATCTCAATAATTTTGGAAAATGAAAGAAATTACAGTCTTAGACTTGTCATTTCTTTTATAAACCAGGGAAAATTATCTGTTACTATGTCAAAATATATTGAGTAAAGATTGGTTAGAATGTAGCAGACATTTAAAAATAATGTTAACCTTTCTTCGTATGTAGCACATTGTTTTTGACCTTTTGAATGGTGAATTGATAGTAATTCTGCCTGATAACAAATGGCAATCTTAAAAAATTTTGCCCTTGTGTGTACTGTTTATGAGCAAATGTCTGGGTAATTCTTTGTTCATTGAATGCAAGGAAGTGGATTATTTGCATGAAGCTGCATTTGCTGTTTGAGAAATACAGGGAAAAGAGCCATTTCTTTTTAAGGAGATTATGAGAAAATATACAGAAAAAAACTAGTCAGTCTTTGAATTTTTTTTTTCAAAAGTTGTATGCTTCAATTTCCTTTTGTCTTTGAAAAGGGAGTTCTTACAATGGGTAAATCGTTGTTGTTGTTGTTGTTGTTATTATTATTATTTATTTAATTTATTTTTTTGTTGGTCATGGGGCCTGAACTCTGGGCCTGGGCACTGTCCCTCAGCTCTTCAGCACAAGGCTAGTGCTCTACCACTTGAGCCATAGCACCACTTCTGGCCTTTTCTGCTTATGTGGTGCGAAGGACTCGAAACCAGGGCTTCATTCATGCAAGGCAAGTACTCTACACTGAGCCACCTTCCCAGCCCTATTATCATTTTTTTAATTACACAAACTAGGATGTTTCATCTTGAAATTCTAATGTTATGTACTTTGGTCATTTCACCCTTATTCATTCTTACTTTCTTTCAATCTCTCTTCTTCCCTTTATATATCCTCAATAGTCCCCCTTTCACTTCCAATTCACTCTACTTCCCCAAGATTTCACATGTGAGAGAAAATACGTGATGAGACTTGTCATTGTGCCACTGGTTTATTTCATTTATCATGATGATCTCCACTTCTGTCCAGCTTTCCACAGACAATTCGTTATGGAAGAATAAAACTTCATTGTATATATTTTCTTTATCCATTCATCATTTGGTTATGGTGAATAAGTGCAGCAGTAAATATGGATATGAAGATATATGTAACAATAAGTTCACTGATTCATGTGTGTGTGTGTGTGTGTGTGTGTGTGTGTGTGTTGGGAGCTTGAACTCAGGACTGATATGTTGTCTTTGAGCTTCTTTTGCTAATGTCTAACATTCTACTACTTTAGCCACAGTTCCACTTCTGTTTCTTTGGAAGTTTATTGGAGATAAGAAGTCTCATGGACTTTCCTGACTAGGTTAGCTTTGAGCTGCAGCCCTCAGGTCTCTGCTTCTGAGTAACTAGGATTACAGCCCTGAGCAATCGAACCCAGCTTTCAACATAGTTTTTATTTGCATTTCCCTGATAGCTAAAGATGTTGAACATTTTTTGTGTATTTATGAACTATAGAAATGATCCCTGAAAGTATAGTCTTTTTTGTGTATATTTACTAGAAATCATATTTATTTGAAAATTGTCTGCCCAGTTCATTTGCCCATTTGTTGTATTATTTGCTCTTTTGTATTTACGATTATTTTTAGTCATTTATATATTCTGGATATTAATTCCCTGTGGAATGGATAGCTGACAAAAATTTTTATCTTATTTTACAGACTATCTCTTCACTCTGTTGATTGTTTCTTTTGCTGTGCAAAAATTTTTAAATATAATCCCATTTGTCAATTATTTATTGTTTTTCTTGAACTATTAGAGCCCAGTGCAGAAGACTTGAACTGTTTCTTCTGGTAGTTTCTAAGTTTTGGGTTTTATATGGAAAAATTTGATTTTGTACAGAGTAAGAGATAGGTATCTAATTTCATTCCTCACCATATGGGTATCAAGTTTCCTGGTACCCCTTGGTATATAGACTTCCTTTTCATAAATGTATGTTTGGACACTTTTATCAGAAAGAATGACATTGCCCCATTTGTTAGGAAATGGAAAGACTTGGAAAAAATTATATTAAGTGAAGTAAGCCAGGCCCAAAGAAACATAGGTCCCATGATTTCCCTTATTTGCAATATCTAGTATATGTATGAGTCAAGCAGAAAAGGTCAGGTAAGGTGATGTTAGGTGAAATGAACCCCAAGATAAGTATTCAAATGTTTTTTCTTTCTTGCGATTGTTTCTAACATATGTATAAGATGATTTTTTTGTTGTTTATGTATGTCCCTCCCCCATGGTATAACCTCTATTTTCACTGTTTGATGTTGGTATAATTTGTGGAGTGGAAGGGAAAAAACAAATCATTTAAATAGGGATATGGGTGAACCCATTGCAACAATGAGATGTACAAGATGTTATTTCAAAAAATGAACTTTACAACTTTGGTACAGAAGGGGGGTCGGGGAGGGGAGATGGGAAGGGATGGGAAGGGGAAACAAAGGAGGAGGCAACGATGCTTGATAAGAAATATACTCATTACCTTGCTCATGTAATTGTAACCCCTCTGTACTGTATTTTCACACACACACACAAAGAATATTGAGAATCATATGGCCAGGCACTGGTGGCTCACCCCTGTAATCCTAGCTACTCAGGAGGCTGAGATCTGAGGATCGTGGTTCAGAGCCAGCTCAGGCAGGGAACTCTATGAGACTCTTATCGCCACTTAGAAAACCAGAAATGGACCTGTGGCTCAAGTGGTAGAGCACTATGAGCTGAAGAGCTGAGGGAAAGTGCCAGGCCCAGAGTTCAAGACCCATGACCAACAACAACAACAAAAGAATCATATGGCTGTACCTTTGTAAGCTTCTTTTTGAATCTTCTATTTCATTGGTCCACATGTTCATTTTTTTGCTTTCACTATTATCTTTAAGTAGTTGTACAAATGAGTTGCCATTTAACAAAGCAGTCTATGAATATAATATATCTCGATCAATATCACCCATTTCAACATTCTCACTCTGCCCACTCCTTCCTTCTCTCTTCTTAATTTTGGAGGATATACACTGGATTCTTGAGTCTTTCTCCTTGATCTCACCCCACCCTTTTCATGTATCTTCTTCCAGGTGTTTCATTTTTTTGAACTTTGATTTTGCCTTTCTAAGAAACTATTTGAGTTCTTCCTTGAATCTACTATATTTCAGTTAATATATTTGTATACATTTGCACACTATCCAACAAATTTGCTTATATGCTAATAAACTAAATCTAGCTTTCACATATAAAGAAAAAGCTGCATTTTTTGTCTCTCTGGACCAGACTTACTTAGCAATTTTTTTCCATTTCTTTACAAATGGTACAATATTTTTTTCTAATGAATGAGTAAAATTCCATTATGTATACATACTACATTTTCTTGATTCCTTCATCCATTGAGGGGCATCTGATTTGATTTCATACCTTGTTTATGGTGAATAATGCTTCAATAGCCATGGTTGTGCTTTACTGTATTGTGGTTTGTAA